CACACACACACACGTGATGATGATGATGTCTGTGTGTCCGTGGTTGCACGTGCTCTCATGTGCATGTGTGGATCCATACCTGGTTCTGTTTTGATGTCATTCAGCTGACATCAACGTTTTCTACAGTGCAACTGATGCATATCGGTAGTAGGTAGATACTCAAGCCACGTTCAGAAACTGAACAGGGACTGACTTTTATGTTAATCCGTCCCAGTACTTCTGGCAATCCTGGTCAGAAGAATTTTGAGGAGCTTCAGAAAAGATTCTCAATCTTTTTTTGGCAGTTCCTGTGTTTTACGGTGGTGAGGATACATGTCCATCCTCCGGCTTGGCCGATTGTTCAAGAGAGGAGGATCCCTGTCATACTTGGATCCCATTATCTTCTTTTCAATCAGTTAAGCCCACAGCCACCATTTTCCAAATCCGTACGCCTTGTAGTGTTGTAGACTACTAATTCAGGAGTGTTACAAATCGACTTTGCATCCCATACTGTGAAATGATTTCAAACTCCACGCTGATTCTGCTCATCACTACAACCCTCACACCTGAATTTCTGTGGTCTCCACTTGTGGAGATCCACGCAATCAGCGGTGCATCAGCACGCTGCCTGAATGGGCTTGCAAAACCCCAGGCAGCTTTCGACTTGGGCCCTGTGACAATCTTCGGTTGATTTCCACACATGTAAAGGCACATTTGCGCACCTCGAGACCTGTAGCATGGTCAGGCAAGATGAACACATGATGTTCTTGCTGCTGGGTCTTGTTTCTTTGAATCAGCGCTGCAGAGCAATGGGCCATCGGCGCATAATGCAACACACTTTTTTAACAAAACGCCATGTGCTCCCCATTCGAAATGGGTATGTGTGCTATCTGGCTGCGTTTCATGGCAATGGATTGTCTGTTGCTGTGGCCCAGAGCTGATTTCTTTTTCTTTCCTTCATAAAGACTCTGGGAGCTGATTGTGACTTCACCGTTGACATCACAATGTGGCCATCATCCTGCTGTCAATTACTGCTGTCAATTATGCACCACGGCTCTGTGTCAGGATTTTTCTTCAAGCCGGAGCTCATGCTGCTTTCCCTTTTCCCTTAGCTCATCCCTTGAATGTCAACCCCTCTCATCTCTCACTTATTATCTTTCTGACCCTAGGACAGATTGGGAAGATGGAGGCTTACATGTCGCGTGTTTTCCTGCTCTTGGGTTCCTGTCAATCGTCTCTCTCTCTCTCTCTCTCTCTCTCTCTCTCTCTCTCTCTCTCTCTCTCTCTCTCTCTCTCTCTCTCTCTCTCNCACACACACACACACACACACACACACACACACACACACACACACACACACACACACACAGAAGTCGACGAAACAGTCCGGCACAGTCATGCTTTTTTCGAGTGTATAGCGGATATGACAACACACAAACACACAGCAAAGATGACAACACATGCACACACACACACGCGCAGACATGCTTTACTTCTCTGCGTTGCATGTGAGGTGCTGGTGTGGACTGAGATCTTGTCAATAGGTAAGTTACTGGCACACACACACACACACATACACACGGACACACACAAGCGCACGGACACCCCCACACACACATGCTTCACTTTCCTGCATTGCATGTGAGGTGTTCGTGTGGACTGAGATTTTGTCAATAGGCAAATTACTGACAACGGTCGACCACCATGACCACAAAAGCCTTGATTAGCTGGTCTTGAATCCTCGTCTGAGCATTGGTCCATTCTTTGTTTGCCACATGGTTCTTATTGTGCCATGAAGCTCATTGTGGAAAGACCTATCTGTAGTGTAGTAAGTGTCGCCGTTCTGACAGTACACTTTCTAGGGTAGTTTTCAGTGGTGAACAGTAACTCATCCATGCCATCCATGGCATTGCTGTTGTGGCTGGGAAACATAGGCAGCTTGTGTTGTCAAACCCTCTGGTAGACTGGTAGCCCTTTTTTAGAAATGTTGCTACCCCTTTGCGAAGACTGAAGATGTTGCAAGCTTTAATCTGGCATTCCAGATTTTCGTGTGTAAATGTATGGAATCTGTGGATGATGGTGCAATTGTGAATTTGCTATTGGAGGTCCAGGGTAGTCGTCCTCTTGGCAGGATTGTCTTCCATTCATTCAAGCGTTACTGGATCAACTGACAACTTGATAGACGTATAGTTTATGCTTCAGCATAAAAATCTTGTTTGCAAGGAGTGATACTGTGGTCAAGCTTATGAAGCGATAGGCGGCGGTTCGGCATATGGCAGGGCTCAGAATAGGTGATCTTTTTGTCCCTGTTCAGATTGTGAGTGGTGTGGGAAACCTACCTACCTGTTTGGCGTTAGGGTTCAGGTGTTGTGCTCCTGATATTGATGGGGCATTCATGAATGGAAAGCTGCAGGACAAAGAACTGCTGCATGCATTGTTGCGAGGGCGGTACGAACATAGGGCAAAGCCAGAGGTGAAGGTATATTGCCGACCCGATATTTGTGGCTTAGGCACTGTGCTCCCGGTGTAAATGGGTTCTGCGCTTCTACGATGGCCCTACGGGTGGAGCAACCGTTGAGGGATAGAGACAGGACAATGAATGGCATACTTATGGTTGAGAGTCTCATCATGGCAAGATGTGAAAATGATGGGGTTGAAGGTATAACAGACCTGGAGGTGAGGTAGCATGCCTTCCACATTCATACATGGACATTGGTGACAGCCATGCATCATGAATATACAACGACCTTTCGGAGGACTCCAGGCAAGCAAGGGATTTCCCCTGTGGCATAGCAGGAGGATGACGTTCAGAGAATGAACATATTGGCGGTAGAGATGCTGAGGGAATTTGTTCAACATGACCATCCAAGTTTGAAGGTCTCCCATCCATCGCACGGTGCTCTCACACTTTAGGACTCAGTCCTGGGGGACTCATTGCACAGTGCAGTCACAGTCCCAAAATGTCCAATTGGTCAATGTGGAGGATAAGTAACAGCAATGTGAACTCAATGTGCGAGGCGGTACTATCACAGTGAAGACATCGAGTACATGGCATGTGATCAGTTGGATGCTTACCTCCTGCCCGGGGCTCTCATAGCGTGAGTCTGTGTCATCAACCAGGACTCCCAGGAAGTGACTTGGTGGGAGGAACAGGTGCGCCAAAGTGGATGCTGGTTGAAAAGCGGAATGCCGCCAGGAAGAGAGGAGCTGGTGTTGAGATGTTAAGAACCCCTATCAGTGAGACAGGACTTGCATCTGAAAGAGTTTTGGAACCAAGGAACAGGAGAAACATCACCAGCAAAAGGGAGTTGCACGAAGCAAGAGCAGGATGTGAACAACAGCAACAGAAGCAGTAGAGGGAAGAGGAGCAGGAGCGCGGAGAGGGACCAAGGATCAGCAGCAGGACATGTTGCTGCAGCATGAGCCAGTAGTGCAGGCTCAGTATGAAGGAATATTTAGCGAAGAGTAGCGTGCAAAGATGCTTGCTTCTGTAGTTATCAAACTTCAAAAACTTGTGGTACTGGAAAGTGAAATTGGACATCAAAGTCTATGAAATAAGAATCCGACCTGTTTGGTGCCAACTTAGAATGTTGGACGTGTTACACCAAGTCCATCAGTGAACAGCTCCTCATGTATGGCGAGTGGTGACTGATTTGCCTTCCCGTGCTGTGAACTAAGTGTTTGTTACAAGGGTCTGGAATCTTATTCCCAGCAAAATGAGAGATGGCATGCACACACACACACACACACACACACATGCACCCACACACACACGCACACACACATGCACACACACACGCACACACGCACACACACACAGATGCACGCATGCACGCACACAGGTATGCCCGCCTGCCC